TCATCGGAAAAGGAATTTGACCCCCTTTACCACCATGGTCATCCCATAGGGCTCCACTGCACCAGCGACTCATAGGTCATTAAATCTATACTCAGACAGGATGGATTTTTTCTGTCCCATCAAATGAGTCAGAAAGTCTCCCACGGCTGGCGGGGTCATTTGGCCGCGGTGTTTCAGCCATCCTGGCCTTACTCCAAGAGCTAGAGAGAATCAGATCTCAGGGCAAGACACGACCGGGAATGCTGGGGTCTGGGTCCAACTTCCTGAATTTATGGTTCAAGTCAGACACCTTCCTCCCTGAGGACCAGTCTGTCACTGGGATGTGGGCTGTCAGAGGGCTGGGGGTGGGGAGGAGGTGGCTGCATCTTAAAATTCCCCATGGGATTCTGTCAAAGCGCAGTCCCTGGGCCTCCCATTGTCTCTGTGGGGACATTCTGATGTGCCCTGGACTGGGTGAAAGATTGAGGGATCAGAGGCAAATCTACTTTGAAAATACGCCTTCCCCAAACCTGAGAACCTCCCTCCCAACACCCCACCCCTTGTAGCCTCCTGTGGATCAGATTCCCTGAGTAAATCCCAACCCCCTCTTTGTAAGGATGAGGGACACACCTGGTGATGAGAGGCACTTTGTCACAGGTGCACAGGCCTATGATGGAACTTGTGAGGTCAGTTACCTGTGCCACCGCTGAGCCTGTGGTGGACGCCAGGAACTTCGGCCTTGCGTGCTGTAGCTCGGGCTGCTCTCCCATCAGACTGGGTGCGCGCGCTGCTCAGGGGCTACACCCTCCCCGCCAGACAGCGCGTCCCTTTAGGGCAGGGGCCGCGTTTCTTCTGCTCACTCCCAGAGGCAAGGTGGGGCTCGGAATCTGAAATGGGGAGGGGAGGGGAGGTTGCTCAGCATACATACATAGACATCGTTGTTTTTCTCAACAGGCCGGGGAGCTATTTGTCCTCAGAACATGACCACGAGTTAATTTCAAGGCTCATTACACTAATAACCTAATTAATCAATCCAGATCTGTTCTTTCAAGGAGTTCAGTGTCTGCCCACCCCCATCGCCTGTGGTGCTGCAGACTAGCCCTGAGGGTGTCAGACAGACCCCCCTTTGGGGGATTATGGACACTGATATGCAAAGATGACCGGTGATGCCACATGGCCTGAAGCAAGCCAGATTCAAGGCAGGGTTATTAGGACCCAGACATCCTGGCCCCTCCCCAGGGGCCCTGATCCAGACTCCCCTGGGCAATGTTACTATTAAATCTGTGGCCTCTGGAGTGTGCCCAGCACCTTTGATTGTATCGTTTCCTGTTCTCCTCTGAGAGGAAGACTTTCTCTGCAGGAAGTAGTTTAATAGTCTGAACGCCTTACTCTCCTTGTCTTGAGATCCAAGTTCCAGTGAAAGTGGCTGAGGTCCTTGATAAGAAGCGGGGCCAGGAAGGAGATGGCTAGAGGTGTAGACTATGGCTCCTTCTCAGACATCAAGGAAGGGGGTAGGGAAGAGAGGAGTCAGCCCCCGAGTCTCCCAACGGCAGGTTGCGGAAAGAGGCAGACCCGCCTTGGGCCCCCACCCAGCCTGCACACCCAGCACCTTGGCGAGGAGCAGGTGACAGGAGACAGGGACAGCTGGGCCCGAGCCCCCTGCCCTGGTCTCAGCAGATCACAGGACACTTCATCACCCCTGCCTTCAAGCAGAACCATATTTAGCCTTTTTCAGACCCGCTCTGATTATCTCTTCCTCTGAGTCAACATGTATTTATTGACAGTCTGGTCAGTTCTCTCGTCCCTCTGGTGGGGAGAGGAGGGCGATGAGCTGTGATGGCTGACTTCAACTCTTCCTGTTCCACTCCATTGAGTCTAACCAGGAACACAGAAATCACTTAGGTATTTACAACTGAGAGCTTTTAATGCCAGGAATTGGTCACACAGGTGACGAAGCATCTGAGAAGCCAAACGGGATGGTGAGGTAGCTCAGATGGACAGGAAGCCACCCTTAGGCTGAAGGACAAAGGGAGCAGGTCGTCCTGGAGCCCAGGGGCTGCAGGGGGCCAGTGAAAGCCAGAGCCATGGTGGGCCTGGCTGGTGGGACGCAAGAGAGATACCCGCCGTCGGAGACCCATATTCTCCAATGCCTCGTGTGAACCTAGCTGACTCAGGAGCTTGGGAAACGCAGCCCACAGGGGTCGAGGTCGGCCCCCTTCCCAGTGACCCAGAGCAGTGCTGGGAAAGCTGAGGACAGACAGCTTCAGGACCAGCACGTTCCAGTCTTGTTTGTGCAGTGATGGAGCGGCTTCTCTGAGTACCTTCCTCTGTTGGTCAGTTCTCAGTCCACTGAAGAGATTTTTTTAAGGAGCTCTAGACACCCCCTTCTCTTTCCTCTGTCAAATGCTGCTTTCCAGCCTAGGTCCCCTGGTCTGTTCAACACCTGATGTCCTTCTGACCTGTTCCTGTTCTAAAGAGTCTTGTTGTTAATGTTCTCAGAGTCAGCCTAAAAAATCAGTCCTCAGCGATGTCCGGGAAGGGTGCTCCTCTGAGGCTGTCGGCAGGGGGAGGCCACCCCTCTGTGCACAGTCAGGCCTCCGACTGGGAGTGATCTCATCCATGAAAGGGGCCTATTCATGAAGCCAAGAGCCAACAGAGAGCTCAGGCACACTCATGGCTGCTGCTTGAGTTGGAGACACGGCTTCTCTGGAAGACTCGGGGAGGCTAGTTCTGGCGGGGGGAGCCTCAGCTGGTATCACGGTGTGCAGGGACAGCGCTGGGGCCCAGCGCTGCCGTGGATGTGCTGGAGGCTGGCTGGCGGCCTGGTGGCACTCGCTCATACGTCTCATAAGAGGCCTTCATCAGAGCAACATAACTTGTCACAGGGAGCAAGCAGGGGACCGGGAGCTGTCTGACTTAGCAGCAGGCACACCGCCCCTTCTAACTCAGTGGAGTATGGGCAAGAAAAAACTCTTTTCATCCAAGGCACTGTAATTGGCACTGTAATTGCTTATCTTTATGTATTTTCTTTATTTTTTATTTTTTATTCTATTGAGTTATAGTCAGTTTACAATGTTGTGTCAATTTCCAGTGTAGAGCACAATTTTTCAGTTATACATCAACATACATATATTCATTGTCGCATAATTTTTCACTGTGAGCTACCACAAGATCTTGTATATATTTACCTGTGCTATACAGTGTAATCTTGTTTATCTATTCTACATTTTGAAATCCCAGTCTGTCCCTTCCCGCCCCCTTCCCCGCTGGCAACCACAAGTTTGTATTCTATGTCTATAAGTCTGTTTCTGTTTTGTATTTATGTTCATTTGTCTTTTTCTTTTCTTTCTTTCTTTTTAGATTCCACATATGAGCGATCTCATATGGTATTTTTCTTTCTCTTTCTGGCTTACTTCACTTAGAATGACATTCTCTAGGAGCACCCATGTTGCTGCAAATGGCGTTATGTTGTTGGTTATTATGGCTGAGTAGTATTCTGTCATATAAATATACCACCTCTTCTTTATCCAGTCACCTGTTGATGAACATTTAGGCTGTTTCCATATCTTGGCTGTTGTAAATAGTGCTGCTGTGAACACTGGGGTGCAGGTGTCATTTTGAAGAAGGGTTCCTTCTGGATATATGCCCAGGAGTGGGATTCCTGGGTCATACGGTAAGTCTATTCCTAATCTTTTGAGGAATCTCCACACTGTTTTCCACAGTGGCTGCACCAACCTGCATTTCCACCTGTAATTGCTTCTAAGACTACAGTTATGCCTTTCTAGTTTGACTGTCTCTAACTGAACACCTACCGTGTAATCATTATCTCTGCTTCCTGAGATGTACTCATATGGTAGGTCCTCAATCAGTGATGAGTGACTGAATAAGTCATTTTGATTTATCATTGAATAAAATGTGTTTATCATTGAATAAATAAATGTATGGATTTATGTGTCCACTGTCAGATGTATTTATTCATTCATTCAACAAATGATTTTTTCCTTTTTCAGTTTTATTAGGAAGAATTATTACAGTCTGACTGCACATGCACATTATATTGCATGTAAATACATATATACAGTATACTGCACACTTTTTTTTAGTTTACATATATGTACTGATCATTGTTTCAAGAACAGATTAGAGCTTTAGAATTTTTTTTTTAGTTTACATTAGGGTTTACTCTTGATGTTGTACATTCTATGGGTTTTGGCAAATGCATAATGACATGTAGCCACCACTATGGTCTCGTATAGAATAATTTCATTGTCCTAAAAATCCCTTTTGCTCCATCTATTCATCCCTTCCTCCCTCCTTCTCCCCAAACCCCTGGAAACCACGATCTTTTTATTGTTTCTGTAACTGTGCCTTTTCCAGAACGTCATTTGGTTGGAATCGTACAGTTTGTAACATTTTCAGACTGGCTTCCTTCATTTAGTAGTATGTCTTTTAAGTTTCTTCTGTGTCTTTCATGGCTTGATAGATCATTTTTCTTTTACTGTACATGTATTCTTAATTTACATATATGTACTCTTCATTGTTTCTAAGAACGTTTAGAGCTTTAGCTTTTTAAACTTACATAGTTATCAAAGAAATAAAGCCAACCACAAAATAAGAATCAATAGAATGCGGTAATCCAGTCATAAAGGACAGTCAAATGTGCTTACACATATTCAAGAGATCAGTCATCTGAGTTATAAATAATAAGTAGTTCATTTGTGTCCTTATTTAAAAAAATTTTTAGAGTCCACTATAAGTGATATCATATGGCATTTTTCTTTCTCTTTCTGGGCAACTTCACTTAGAATGACGATCTTCAGGTCCATCCATGTTGCTGCAAATGGCATTATTTTATTCTTTTTTATGGCTGAGTAGTGTTCCATTGTATAAATATACCACAACTTCTTTATCCAGTCATCTGTTGATGGACATTTGGGTTGTTTCCATGTCTTGGCTATTGTCAATAGTGCTGCTATAAACATTGGGGTGCCTGTATCTTTTTGAATTTTATTTTTCTCCAGATATACGCCCAGGAGTGGGATTGCTCATAACATGGTAAGTCTATTTTCCATTTTTTGAGTAATCTCCATACTGTCCTCCATAGTGGCTGCACCAATCTACACTCCCACCAATAGTGTAGAAGAGTTCCCTTTTCTCCACACCCTCTCTAACATCTATCATTTGTAGACTTTTCAATGATGGCCATTCTGGCTGGTGTGAGGTGATACCTCATTGTAGTTTTGATCTGCATTTCTCTGACAATTAGGGATGCTGAGTACTTTTTCATGTTCCTATTGGCCATTTGTATGTCTTCATTGGAGAACTGCTTATTTAGGTCTTTTGCCCATTTTGGATTGGGTTGCTTGTTTTCTTAATATTAAAGTGTATGAGATGTTTGTATATTTTGGAAATTAGTCCCATCAGTTGCATCATTTGCAAATATTTTCTCCCATTCTGTAGGTTGTCTTTTTGTTCTGTTGATGGTATCCTTAGCTGTGCAAAAGCTTTTAAGTTTAATTAGATCCCTCTTGTTTATTTTTGCTTTTATTTCCATTACCCCAGGAGCTGGTTTAAAAAATATATTGCTGTAATGTATGTCCACGAGTGTTCTGCCTATGTTTTCTCCTAGGAGTCTTATAGTATCTGGTCTTACATTTAGGTCTTTGATCCATTTTGCATTTATTTTTGTACATGGTGTTAGGGAATGTTCTAATTTCAGCCTTTTACAGGTATCTGTCCAGTTTTCCCAGCACCACTTATTGAAGAGACTGTCTTTTCTCCCTTGTGCATTCTTGCCTCCTTTGTCGTACATTAATTGACCATAGTTTATGGGTTTATTTGTGGACTTTCTATCTTGTTCCACTGATCTATGTCTGTTTTTGTGTCAGTACCATACTGTTTTGATTACTGTAGCTTTGTAGTATAGTCTGAAGTCAGGGAGTGTGATTTTCCCCAGCTCTGTTCTTTCAAGATTGTTTTGGATATTCAGGGTCTTTTGTGTTTCCATACAAATTTTAACATTTTTTTGTTCCAGCTCTGTGAAGAATGTCATTGGTAATTTGATAGGGACTGCATTGACTTTCTATAAATTGCCCTGGGCAGTATGGCCATTTTAACAATATTTATTCTTCCAATCTAAGAACATGGTACATCTTTCCATTTGTTTCTGTTGTCTTCAATTTCCTTCATCAGTGGCTTACAGTTTTCAGCATACAGGTCTTTTGCCTCCTTGGGTAGGTTTGTTCCTAGGTATTTTATTCTTTTTGGTGTGATGGTAAATGGTATCATTTCCTTAATTTCCCTTTCTGCTATTTCATTGTTAGTGTACAGCAATGCAACTGATTTCTGTATATTAATTTTGTATCCTGCAACTTCCAAATTCATTGATGAGCTCTAGTAGTTTTCTGTCACTTCTTTAGGGTTTCCTATGTATAGTATCATGTCATCTGCAAACAGTGACAGTTTTACTTCTTTGTTTACAATTTGGATTCCTTTTCTTTCTTTTTCTTCTCTGATTGCTATGGCTAAGACTTCCACAACTGTGTCAGTCAACAAATAATTATTGAGCACTGTTGTAGGTGTTGGGGATGCAGTGAAGAACTTGCAAAATAAAGCCTCTGTCCTAATGGAGCTTACATTCCACTGGGGAGAAATAGATAATAAATTCATGAAAAGCTGCCTGTCTGTACATACATCTATATAGAAAGAGGAAGAGAATGACAGGTGGATGGATGGATTCAGAGAGTCAAGAAGTGATAAGCTCGCTCAAGAAAATTAGAAACAGCAGGAGGCTACAGAGTGACAAGGGCTCCTTTTGCAGGGTGTTCAAGGCATCTCTGAGGAGGTGATATCTGAGCTGAGATCTGGATGTGGGGGAAGGAACCTTCCCAGTCATCTCGGAGAGGTGAGCAGGAAGTGCAAAGGCCCTGAGGTGGGAGGTGCCTAGAGATGCACACAAAGGACTGCAGTAGCGCCAGGAGTGAGCTAGCAGGGGGTTGGGAGTAGGGGAAGGGCTCCTGGCAAGGGAGGAGTCAGCTTCCCCTCAGTGGTCAGGATCAAAACCTGAGCATCATCCTTGTGATTCTTTCTCTCACCCAGACATCCAAACTCAGCAGCAGGTCCCCTTGGCTCCGTCCCCAAATACATCTCAAAGCCATGCACTTCTCCCCACTTTCCACTGCCATCAGCCAGAGCAACCACCTCATCTCTTCCCTAAAGAGCTGAAATGGGCTCCCGTGGTGTTCTCGCTGCCCCTGGTACACACCACGCGTTCTCCGCCTGCAGCCCTTTGAAAAACAGAAATTGGATTATATTAACTCCTTTGTTTACGATGGCTTCCCCTGCACAGGAGTGAACCTTGAAACCTTTTTTTATATATAATTTTTTGTCGTTGCATTTCTGTTTGTTTTGGGGGTGAGGATTAGGTTTATTTATTTATCTTAGTGGAGGTACTAGGGACTGAACCCAGGACCTCTTGCATGCTAAGCATGCGCTTTACCACTGAGCTATACCTTCCTCCCAGCCTCACCTCCAGCCTTGGAACTTTTCATGTGACCTGCCCAGCCCCGGGTGGCCGTCCCTGACCACATCTCTGATGGCCCCGCCCTGGCCCTTGCCTTCACTCCCGGGACGCCCCTCTCGGGCTGCTCTGCTCCTTGAGCCCACACCGGCCTCAGGCTCTCACCTGCCAGTACCTTCCGCCTGGCTGTTCTGAGTGATCACCTCTCAGCTCGGTGTCTCCTGCCCAAAGAGGAGGACTGGTCCCGCCCACCCACCCAGTCCAAGCCAGCAGCACCCGTGCCCAGCCACTCGCTCTCAGGGCATCCTGTTTATTTCACTTGATAGGTCTTTTCACTCTCTGTAACGATCCGTCTATTGGTTTATGATTTGTTTCCTATCCCCTGCTTCTAGAACATTCCTGTCTTGAAACCCTGTTCTCTTCAATATTCCTGAACCCCAACACTTAGACCTTAGCACCTCAAGGCCCTTGGCAAATATCTGTTTAATGCATGAAAGGGAGGGCACCCCAGCTGCCTAGCTGTTCCAGCATGACGACTGAACGGCCAAGCAGACCATGAATAGACCAGTCTAAGGGCTGCAGAGAGGTCGGACTTGGAGGGCACTGGGAGGCTCCCGGGCAGGTCTGCCACCACTTTCAGAACCCGCCAGTCTACGGAGGTTTCCTGAAGCAGGTGAGGCCCACCGTGACTCCCTTCCTCTACGCTGGACTCCCACCCTCAGAGCCCCCCTCATCCTCCATCCTCCTGGACTGGCACAGCTGGGGCCCAGCATGGGCTTTGGATTTGAACAAATCTCAGTTGTAGAAATCCCATCCCTGCCTCTCACTAGCTGAGTGACCTTGGACATGTTTCATAATCTGAGGCTCATTTACTGCGATTTGCAAATGAGAATAATAAGCATAATAGTAACTAACTACGGGGCTGTCTGTAAAGTCAGTGCCAGCACACAGAGAGCATCCGTAAATGTCAGCTGTCATTAGTATGGTTATTGCTATCGATCAGTTAACCATGATTTTTGAACCTCCCTCCACCCCCGGGACAGCCCTGCCGGCGTGTCCAGGGAAGTAGCAAAAGCCTCCTCATCTCGCCCTATTTGGGTGCAGGGTTTGTAGCCCCTTCCCTAATTTCTACCTCTGAACCACACTTACTTACTCCTGCTGTTATGTTATGAAATACTTGTCTGTTCGGCTTGGCCAGTTCTCGGCAACAGTAGACTTTTCCACCTCTTTCCTTAAGCTCTCCCTTCCCCTCTCGGGGTCTCTGCCACCCCTGTCCTAGGTACCCAGTTTTTTTCACGTTATCATCATCAGTAAGAAGACACTGACTAATAGGGAGATGGGTACACAGCTCGGTGGTAGAGCGTGTGCTTAGCATGCACGAAGTCCTGGGTTCAATCCCCAGTGCCTGCATCTAAAAATAAATAAATAAACCTAATTATCTTACCCCCAAAAAACAAATAAATAAATTGTACCAAAAAAAAGTATTCTAAAAAAAAATAAAAGAAGATACTGACTAATAAAGTAATTCATACTATGGAGTTAGTGTTATCTTGGCTTTAAAAATAACACACAGAGGATGATTCTTGACCCACAGGAACAGCTCACCAGTGGCTTGTGCACTGCGAGGGAGGTGTAGGGGGCCGGGGGTGGGCTCCCCCGGGGTCCTTCCATGACACCTTTAAGAAGCTGCCTACCCTGCCTGCCTGAGGACCGGGCTCCACTTGGTGTTTTGGTGCCTCCATTCTGTTGCCCGAGACTGCACACTCCTGAAAGCAGCCATCTCTCTGGCTGGTTCTCAGCGTCGCCCTGGGAGTGGTGAGGCCTTAGACCGCGATTTGGGAGGGACATGCATTTAAGGCACATTCAACACGCCCCACCCCGTGCACCCCAGAACTGCTTCTCTTCCCCACGTGTAGGGAGAGGTGAGTTTCTCCCCCAGCCCTGGGAGGCAGCCCTTCCTGTGAGAGCCTGCTCCACCTCAGCCAAGGTCCTGGGTCCAGCCCTTTCCCACCGTGGAGAAAATAGCAAAAAAAAAACAACAGATGAGAACTGATACCCTAAGCGGCAGGGTCTGCTGGGACCTGGCCCTGGAGGAGCCCCAGGAAAGCTTTAACCTCAGGGCTCCAGGCTGTTGGGAAGGGTGAGGGGAGGAGGGGAGGGGGGCACCTCTGGCTGCAAGTTGCCTCCTCCTTCTCTCCCACCTGAGACACTGTCAGTATTCGCCTCTTTTCTCAGTGGGTCGTCAAGGCGGAGATGTGCGGCCTGGGCTAGGACCCCACTCCCCGCGTCCTCAGGCTGATCGGCAATACCAGAGGTCACCTTGCCCCTCCCCCTTACTCTGGGCGGTACCACTTTTGTATTCTGACGGGGAGAGAATTAAGTTTCTTCATTGATTTCCGCTTGGAGGAGGTTCGGGGACTGGACCCAGGACCTCTTGCGTGCTGAGCACGCGCTCTCCCGCTTGAGCTGTACCCTCCCCGTGGCGGTACCACTTGTCAACAGGGGCTGAACATTCCCGTTTTAAAGCTTGTAAGAAAAGGACATTCCTAACCTGCCATCCACCCACACCCGTTATCAGCCCGGGCCCGGAGGAGAGCTGGTCTTGGAGCAGGAGACCAGGGCACGTTATTGCCCGTTTCTGGACCTCACGTTCCTAGTCTGTGAAATGGGGATTCCACGGTGTGCTGTCCTGACCTCGCAGGGGGGTTACAGGGATTACCTGAGCTATGAGTGAAGAAGGGCTTTGTAAATGATAAACATGGTGTAAAATACATGCATGTGATGGGGGGGGTGCCTGGCCTCCCTTCTTCCTTCTGTTGCTGCAGCCACATTTGGTCCTGCTGAGGCTCACCCTGGGGACGTGCCTTGGGAAGCTATGGCACTGTGTCCCTTGGCTGTTTTCTCTTTTAACAGAGTGAGCTGTGTTCCTTTGGTCTCACTCCATAGACTCGCCCCGAGCTTCTTTCGCCATAGGACATGTGGGGAGCACTTTGAGCTCATCAGAAACAAGCCCTGAGCCAGATGTTTGCAGAACCATTAGGCTGTGTTTGCTGAGCATCCAGAGATACCAGGGTTTCCCAGCTATGAGTGTTTCCCCGGGGCATGGAGGGGTGGGAAGTCAGGTATGTTGGTGGGGTGCTTACAGAGCATTTCACGTATGTTATCTCATCTGAAGTGGGTCCCACGGTCTCACTTTACAGAGGAAAAGCTGACCTCCTAGACTGCAGACCCAGGGCCCAGATATGAGTCTCTGACTCCAAAATATGCACCAGGCTGGCTGTCTTGCTAGGGAGCCAAGAGGCAGGGATGGGATTTAGTTAGAGCAGGAGAGCAAGGATTAGATCCAAGACAACTTCAGGGAGGCGTAAGCAAACTGGGCAGCTTTCAAGGCTCCTTGGAGCTTTGGGGACACAAGGACCTTGTGATTGCAGAGGAGCGGGTGCACCACACCGAAGGTGCTGGAATCCTCTAGAGGCCTCAGTCTCCTCATGAGAATGCTGCGATTGGAAACGCGGTTCCCAAGGTCCCTTCTGGTGCTTGCTTTCTAGATGAGGAAGAGGTGGGGTCTGGTTGCTCTCAACCCCCAAGTCTTTCCCCTTCCCACCCCTGTAGAGCCTTCAAAAAGCAGTGGGTTTGAGGGGAGGCATTGAAAGATGTCCAGGATGAGAGGGACCTTAAGTGTCATTGCTGTGAAGGAGAGAGTCGCAACAGATTCCACAGGCTCGGGACCGAAGAGAACAGAGTCTGAAGGAGGTCTCCCTCTTCGCACCCATGGGACTCAGTAGCTGTTTACATGCTTAGGAGGGCACCCACCCATCTCGGAAGCTGCACTGGAAAATAACTCACGGGCAAGCACAGAGCTGGGAGGGCTCCGCCCTTGGCACTCGCTCCAAGGCCAGTGTGTGGGCAGAGGAGTTGCTGGCTGCAGGCTGGATTGGCATAAAAGGAAGCGGGGAGCCCCCCGGGGTGCCCCTTCAGCTCTGGGGAGGTGGGCGTGGGCGTGGGTGCCTCCCCCCTCGCCCGAGGGCAGCCTCATCCATTCTCTATGTCACCCAAATGTTGTCGTCTTCTGTGTGTGTCATGACATTGGAAAAGATTGGAAGCTCTGTCCCTTGATATTGTCCTGTTTACTTCCTTCAAAGGACATGTGCCAGTCTCTAATTGTCTTGTTTATTTCTTTCCTTACTTTAGTGTTAGCTGTTTTTTCCTCCAAAATGTAAGCTGTGTAGAGGTAGGGATTCTTTATCTTATTCCCAGCACAGAGACCAAGGCTTGGCCCAGAAAGCGCTAAAAAACGAAGGAACGGACCCATGCAGGCAGGCATAAACGGGAGTCCCTTACGGGCAGTAAATGCTCAGCGAACCTAGGTTTTCTTTGCTGAGGATAATTTCCAACTAGCTCGGGGGTGGAGAGCTGGTTCTTGAGATGAACCCCTCAGGAGATAAGCACTTTACAGTGATTGAAGCAGGGAGGGGAGGTGGGGATGGAGGTGGGAGATGGGGGCACTGGCAGAGCTGGAACAGAGCCAGAGGAAGGAGGCTGTGGGAAGGTGTCTTATGGCAGTGCGTTAGCTGGCCCAGGGAGGGGCGGGCTGTGAGTCACCTGGTGGTGGTGGTCACCGCCGACGTGTGTGAGGAAGCACAGGACAGTGTGGCCACCTTCCATGTGGTCTCGGGCAGGACCTGTGACTACGCTGAATCTCCGTCTCCTCAGCTGTCAAATGGGCACTCACTCCGCTGCTGCTTTTCTGCCCCGAGGCGACAGTCACAAAGCAACGGTGAGGTCACCAAATGGGGGTGTGCCAAGCTCACGTGAGGGGTTTGTACTTTGATGGTTTTATGAAAACTCTGAAAGGAGGTCATTGTGTTCATTTCTACTATGATTTTTATTATTAACCAGGCTTCCCACCCCCAGCAGGAGCCATGAGCCAGTGCCTTGCAAGCTCTGGCCTAAATTTTAGACCCCGAAGACTTGGTTCTCTAGTCAAAGACATGCCCCTCCCCACTCACTGGGCCGTGGTTAGGCAGAGGGCCTCCCCTCAGAGACCCCCGGAGGCTGGGTGAGTGGAGGAGGGGCCTCACGCTCTGCCCTCCCCTCCGCTTCCCCAGGTACAAGACAGTGGTGACTCCCCGAAGGGCTGCGGTGGCCATCGCTGGCTGCTGGGTTCTCTCCTTTGTGGTGGGCTTGACCCCCATGTTCGGCTGGAACAACCTGCACGCGGTGGAGCGGGCCTGGGCGGCCAACGGCAGCGTGGGCGAGCCTGTGATCAAGTGTGAGTTCGAGAAGGTCATCAGCATGGAGTACATGGTCTACTTCAACTTCTTCGTCTGGGTGCTGCCCCCGCTGCTGCTCATGGTCCTCATCTACCTGGAGGTCTTCTACCTGATCCGCAAGCAGCTCAACAGGAAGCCGTCGGCGCCCCCCGGCGACCCCCAGAGGTACTACGGGAAGGAGCTGAAGATCGCCAAGTCGCTGGCCCTCATCCTCTTCCTCTTCGCCCTCAGCTGGCTGCCGCTGCACATCTTTAACTGCATCACCCTCTTCTGCCCTTCCTGCCACAAGCCCACGATCCTCATCTACATCGCCATCTTCCTCACACATGGCAACTCGGCCATGAACCCCATCGTCTACGCCTTCCGCATCCAGAAGTTTCGGGTTACCTTCCTTAAGATTTGGAACAACCATTTCCGCTGCCAGCCCGCACCCGCCGTTGACGAGGACCCTCCGGAAGAGAGACCCGATGACTAGACTCCACCTTCTGCTCCCACTGGCCCGCATCCGGGGCGTCATCTCAGCCCAGTCCTCACCCCCCTGCTGTCCCACCTGTCTCCCTTGTGTCCCTGACCCTTCCCTGCTGGGCTGTGAGCCCCCTGCACCTCTGGGTCCTGGAGGAGGTTTGGTAGGGCAGTCCACGGGGAAAGAACCGGGTGACCGGAGGGGAGGAGGAGAGGGGCTTGAGCCTCCCCACCTGCCTGCCCATCCCGCGGGCAGCCCAGCGCACCAGGCTGGGGGGCCCTGGGAGACTGAGGCTGCCGAAGGGCCAGGTAGGCCGGGGGGCAAGCCCAGCTCCCACAGTGGCCAGGGGTGTCTGCACGTCTTAGGTGGTGGTGGTGCAGCCCTGGGACCACACTTAAGGAGGGGAGAAGATCCAGTCTGAGATGGAGGGAAGGAAAGAAACTGG